TAATCCCTCAGGTAACATTAGAGTGTTTAATCATCAGGTTGAATAAACTGGGTGGCTTAATCTTCACGTGGTCCCGGTTTACTCTGACCAACTTTCAAGCCTTAAGATTTAGAAAGGAATTACGTAAACACACACCCACCTTCCTACATACCCACCCACCTTGCTACATACCCACCCACCTTCCTACATACCCACCCACCTTCCTACATACCCACCCACCTTGCTACACACACACCCACCTTCCTACATACCCACCCACCTTCCTACACACCCACCACCTTCCTACACACCCACCCACCTTCACACACCCACCTTCCTACATACCCACCCACCCTACACACATACCCACCCACCTTGCTACACACCCACCCACCTTCCTACAAACCCACCTTCCTACACACCCACCCACCTTCCTACATACCCACACCCACCTTCCTACAAACCCACCCACCTTCCTACACACCTTCCTACATACCCACCCACCTTGCCACACACCCACCCACACACCCACCTTCCCACACACCCACCCACCTTCCTACACACCACCCACACACCCACCCACCTTCCTGCACACACCCACCCACCTTCCTACATACCACCCACCTTGCTACACACCCCCCCACCTTCCTACATACCCACCCACCTTCTACACACCCACCCACCTTCCTACACACCCACCCACCTTCCTACCACCTTCCTACATACCCACCCACCTTGCTACACACCCACCCACCTTCCTACAAACCCACCCTTCCTACACACCCACCCACCTTCCTACATACCCACCCACCTTGCTACACACCCACACCACCTTCCTACACACCCACCCACCTACACACCCACCCACCTTCCTACATACCCACCCACCTTGCTACACATACACCCACCTTCCCTACACACCACACCCCACCTTCACACACCCACCCACCTTCCTACAACCACCCCACCTTCCTGCACACCCACCCACCTTCCTACATACCCACCCACCACACACCCACCCACCTTCCTACACACACCACCCACCTTGCTACACATACACCCACCTTCCTACACACCCACTCACCTTCCCACACACCCACCCACCTTCCCACACACCCACTACCCCACCCACCCACCCTCCTACACACCCACCCACCTTCCTACATACCCACCCTCCTTCCCACACACCCACCCACCTTCCTACAAACCCACCCACCTTCCTGCACACCCACCCACCTTCCTACATACCCACCCACCTTGCTACACACCCACCCACCTTCCTACACACCCACCCTCCTTCCCACACACCCCACCCACCTTCCCACATACCCACCCACCTTGTGAGGGTGGCCCGAGGGTGAACAGGCGGGCAAGTGAATTAGGAAGGCGGTGTTAGCGACGCCATTCACTAGCATTAAGGTTCTCCTCCCCTTCATCCACCTTACCCTCACCCCTCACTCCTCCATCCACCTTCACTCCTCCCCTTCATCCACCTTACTCTCACTCCTCCCCTTCATCCACCTTACTCTCACTCCTCCCCTTCATCCACCTTACTCTCACTCCTCCCCTTCATCCACCTTACTCTCACTCCTCCCCTTCATCCACAATCTCCCTCACTCCTCCTTCCACCCCACTCACAGCGTCCTTCACTCCTCTCCCCACCTTCTCTCACCCACCCCTTCTCCACCCACACCCATCCTTCATCCATCCACCAGTAACAACCTTTGTGATGATGGGTGAACACATCCTAACACACCTTCACCCACGCCCATCCACCTCAACACACCCTCACACATCACCGGTCCACCCTAATGCACCCTGAAGAACAACAAAACTCAGAATAACAATTTTATATTACGAAAATTTTATAGTTAACTTAATATTTTTCTATAACTTGCAATTTAAAGAGGAAATTCTTGATTAATCTCCGGCGACAACGTAACAAAACATTGCGTCAGTATCTGTTGTGGCATGACTCCCCCTAGCCCATCGCGGAACCATCCATTACTGTTTAAAGCAGCTAATAAACTAGTTCTCGCTCACAATAAGTACTTCACAACCGGGCATAAGAAAGGTATGTCACTATTTCATTCCAGCTATGACATACGCACTGCATCTAAAACAATGTTGAAATCGTTTTAACTCGACTTTACCGCAACGCTGTTATATTATTTCATCTCCAGTTACAGCGAACACAAGTGACGTATGAGTATTTTAGAATTCATATCGTGATGTCGGTAATCTACCATCAGTGAGCTGACCGCCGCCGAGTTCTGGGAAAGCCTCCTCGTCTAAGTCGTCTTGCTTGTAGTAATTACCCGCTCTGTCATAAACGCCTTCATGCTAGCCTGTGGGTTTTCTCTCCTATTCGTTTGTGTAACTCTTGATTTCTGTATCTTATTTCTCCTCTTGATGCAAATTATATTAACTGGAAGATACTTTGAAGACACGGAGGGATTAGTTAAAAGAATAAACGAATACTGAGTTAATAGATCTTAGGCTAACATAATTGTTACGGCAACGGGCAACCTAGTGCACCAGTACTACCAGGAATGAAAAGTAAAGCGTGGTTGTTCGATGACGTCATGGGCTGAAGGGATCGCTGCTGCAAAGATTGATCCACCATGTAATTTTAATAATTATTAGTAACTCGGTCGTCATTATGGTTTTGGGAATTAATTTTAAGGAAGGTCTTGGAAGAAATACCAACAATACCTCTTTCAGGTAGGGGGGGGGGTCGTGACGTAAAGGGTTTTATTACCTCCAGTACTGCACTGCGACTTTCCTGATTATCTCTCCCCCCCCACACACACACGCTCGCGCTCTACCACGCAAATAAACTCACAAATACATACACCGGCAAATAAACAGACTAATCCACAGTACATGCACACAAAAGCGAACGAGTAAACATGCACACCCACAGGCACAAGAAGAAGTAAATACACGCACACCCAACGCAATGCTATCGTTAATTTTTTTCTTTTATTCTCTTCCCAGTGAAGTTCTGTTTCCACCGGAAACAATATATACGCTTATGAAATTCTCTGCTGCGTTTTTCTTCTTCGTTAGTAGCAATAAGACTTGAATAAAGTGCACACGCATCTGTATAACTGCTGGACTATTGTGTAAGTTTACAGGATGGGGTTGACTGTATACTACTACTATTGCCAATCTTAAGATAGATAGATATGGAGGTTACAGTCAAGCATTTCTGTATAGTTACACAATAGTCCAGTTATACAGATGCAAGTGTACTTTTAATATTTCAAATGTAGTAAAAAGTAAAACTTTAATTTAGTACCATATGACTGGACAAGCATTGAGCAAAATCATATCGCCTCACAATAACATCACTCCAACGTCCCATTAGCAAAACATCACGAGCAGATCTATTTTCCGTAACTTGTCCCCAAGATGTCGAGCAAAGAGATAAACATCCTGATATAAATACGTATGTGTGTGCTTTCTCATACCGCATCACATGTATTTGTGCAGACGTGTCAGTGTAGAAAAAGTTCTCTCACACTTAGATTCGTCACAGTTGCCTCGAGTGTTGGCAGCTCAGTTAGGTTAGAATACGTGTTCTCATTGCAAAACTTTTAACGTATTTACAAAATTATCACCATGCTCACTTAACTAGCTAGAAACTCATGTTGGGATTCTCTACATACGTATATCTTTCTTGTCATGGGCCTCCTCTATCAGCTCCTGTGATCTGCAGTGACTTACCAAGAGTGTTGAAGACTACAGTAGTAAGGCTGAAAGTACAGTACTTTCCAAAGAAACCAACAGACTTTAAGAAGTATCATACTTCAAGTATTGTTCTGAAACTGTCAGTGTGAGAAAGTCAGGCGGGAACTGTCTTCCTCCAGCTGTCAGAGTGAGGTTATCAATCTTCATCAAGTTACACACAGTAGATTTTAATAATATAAAACACTTCCTGCTGGCGAGAAAAACAATTATTTTGCTTAATTTATATATTTATTTAAATATTTATAATTATTTATTTTCATACAAAGTTTGCTACACTTGATTTATTTAATATTTTGTTAATTACTGTAGATCAGACGAATTATAATGTCTGGTTCTGTCTAATGAATAGCTGTCGATTTATGCAATATACTTGACATAATTTGTGTTAGTCTTTATTTATTCATTCACTCATTCTTTCATTAATACAATCTTTTATTTATTAATGATCAACTATACATTTCTAACAATCACTAACACTACCAGTAGTTGTGTACAGTCATGTGCTCATAAATGCTTCAATTGGTACCTTGTGTCTTACAGTATAAGTATTGGGGTGACGTCAATACAGTAACAGGTTTTATTGCTTATGGAAAATTACAACTTTTTTAAATTTCATAATTTTATTTGTCTCAAGATTTTAAAAAATAAAAGAAATTTAATACCGAAGTTGAATCAGTTCAATTATCCTCATAGAAAATTACATAATGATAATAATAATAATAACGAGACTAAGTCATTATGAGCAGTTTAATAATTAAATACTATAATAAATATAATTATGCTAGAAAAAATAATTGTACAATTTCATAATAATTCATAATGTCATTATCGTATTTACAATCAATAATATATAAGAAAGCAAGTTGAGGTTTTTAGACGTTACTTTCATGCAAAAAATTTAAAACTATTTTTATATGTTTCCTACCGCGTTTACAGTATGCTTGTGTTTATCGTGCGTGTGTATGTCACTATCCCAACAGTACAAGTGTAAATAATACTAATCATTGTGTTTCTTGGAATGGAAACTTCTAATTGGAACTTCTTGTTGATTAAACATTTAGAGTGACGTCATCCAGGTGATGCCATCAGGATTTGTCGTTTACAGAGTTTTAACTTAACTGGCGGGGGCAATATTTACTGAAACAGACAACACGAGTGAGAGTTCAGCAGTGTGGCCTTCTGGTGACTTCAGTAGGTGGAGTGTCAGTAAAGTTGAAGACTGATGAAATACTTCAGCAGGATGAAGTTCAGTTGTTTTGTGAGAGTTAAGTCGAGGAAAGAGAGGTGAAGGTTCAGTAGACAAGGCAGCAGGTGAGGAAGGTTCAGTAGATGAGGCAGCAGGTGAGGAAGGTTCAGTAGATGAGGCAGCAGGTGAGGAAGGTTCAGTAGATGAGGCAGCAGGTGAGGAAGGTTCAGTAGATGAGGCAGCAGGTGAGGGAGATTCATTACAGGAGGCAACAGGTGAAGGAGGTTTAGTAGATGAGGCAGCAGGTGAGGGAGGTTTAGTAGATGAGGCAGCAGGTGAAGGAGGTTTAGTAGATGAGGCAGCAGGTGAAGGAGGTTTAGTAGATGAGGCAGCAGGTGAAGGAGGTTTAGTAGACGAGGCAGCAGGTGAAGGAGGTTTAGTAGATGAGGCAGCAGGTGAAGGAGGTTCAGTAGATGAGGCAGCAGGTGAAGGAGGTTTAGTAGATGAGGCAGCAGGTGAAGGAGGTTTAGCAGTGAAGGACAGAGGGTGAAGGAGGTTTAGTGAGTCAGGCAGAGTTTAGTAGATGGGGCAGCAGGTGAAGGAGGTTCAGTAAGATGATGCAGCAAGTTTAGTAGATGAGGCAGCAGGTGAAGGAGGCAGTAGATGAGGCAGCAGGTGAAGGAGGTTTAGTAGATGGGCAGCAGGTGAAGGAGGTGATGAGGCAGCAGGTGAAAGAGGTTTAGTAGATGAGGCAGCAGGTGAAGGAGGTTTTAGTTTGGTGAAGGAGGTTTAGTAGATGAGCAGCAGGTGAAGGAGGTTCAGTAGATGAGGCAGCAGGTGAAGGAGGTTTAGTAGATGAGGCAGCAGGTGAAGGAGGTTTAGTAGATGAGGCAGGGTGAAGGAGGTTTAGTAGATGGGCAGCAGGTGAAGTTTAGTAGATGAGGCAGTGGTGAAGGAGGTTTAATAGATGAGGCAGCAGGTGAAGGAGGTTCAGTAGATGAGGCAGCTGGTGAAGGAGGTTCAGTAGATGAGGCAGCAGGTGAAGGTTTAGATGAGGCAGCTGGTGAAGGAGGTTCAGTAGATGAGGCAGCAGTTGAAGAAGGTTTAGTAGATGAGGCAGCAGGTGAAGGAGGTTCAGTAGATGAGGCAGTAGGTGAAGGAGGTTCAGTAGATGAGGCAAAGGAGGTTCAGGAGAGTTCAGCAGGTGAAGGAGGTTCAGTAGATGTGAAGGAGGTTTCAGTAGATGAGCAGGTGAAGGAGGTTCAGTAGATGAGGCAGCAGGTGAAGGTTCAGTAGATGAGGCAGCAGGTGAAGGAGGTTCAGTAGATGAGGCAGCAGGTGAAGGAGGTTCAGTAGATGAGGCAGCAGGTGAAGGAGGTTCAGTAGATGAGGCAGCAGGTGAAGGAGGTTCAGTAAATGAGGCAGCAGGTGAGGGAGGGGCCGACGTCCTGGATGAAGGAGAGAGTGAAAGCGGCCATGTGAGGAGGACACACCAGCAGGTGGTAGCGGCCCGACGCCCCAGCTACACTCTCTAACTTCTCCTGCCCAGCCACACACCGGTCTCTGTCAACCTGCGAGTGTAAGGGTTCAAATTTTGTTTTAAAACTTTAGAATATAACTTAGTCTACACTATAAACCATACTTGTACACTACACTACAGACCACTGTACACTACACTACAGACCACTGTACACTACACTACAGACCACTGTACACTACATTACAGACCACTGTACACTACACTACAGACCACTGTACACTACATTACAGACCACTGTACACTACACTACAGACCACTGTACACTACATTACAGACCACTGTACACTACACTACAGACCACTGTACACTACATTACAGACCACTGTACACTACACTACAGACCACTGTACACTACATTACAGACCACTGTACACTACACTACAGACCACTGTACACTACATTCCAGACCACTGTACACTACACTACAGACCACTGTACACTGCACTGCACTCACTCTACACTACACTATACCCACTGTAAACTAAACTACACCCACTGTACACTACACTAAACCACACCCATTATACACTACTCTACACCCACTGTACAATACACTACACTACATTACACTACACCACACCCATTATACACTACATTACACCCACTGTACACTACACCACACCACACCCATTATACACTACACTACACCCACTGTACACTACACCCACTATACACGACAATACACCCTCTGTACACTACACTACGCCCATTATACACTAAACTACACCCACTGTACACTACACTACATACCCTTGTACACTAAACTATTCTAGTCCATTATACACTACACAATTGACCACTGTACACTACACTGCATCCATTACCTACTAGACACAGTACACTCTCATACACACTACACTCAACGAATTATTTTTACTACACCCACTACACACTTTATCCAGGCCACAATACAGCAGGGTTTGACATGACTTGCATCCCGTCTAATTCAGTCTTCAATCAAACGTCTGACATGACCTTTTAACTTACGGTTATGTGACCTTTGACCTGGCGACGTACCTTGTAGTCAGGAGATAGAATTTTACGACACTGGTGGGCGAAGGTTTTGGGGTTGTCGAAGAACTGGTTATCTCCCCACACTGACGTGACCATATACAACTGCAACAGTACAGTAGAGAAGTTAAGTCAAGTTACCTGTAGGTCAGGAAAGATTAACCTGGGTTTATTATGTTAGTTTGTTTGGTTTCAATTGACTAGTTGAAAAAATAAACTCAGTGCAATATTTTATGTACATTACTGAGCCAGTTGACCTGACAGTAGTATAGCATATCTGTATGCTTGTCTGGTATTAGATATCCTAGAATCTTTAACTAAACAACCCTTGCCTGAACACTGTATCATGAGGACCTACATAGTACACTAGTACAGTGACCTACCCCTCCGTTGTTTATGACATCCCAGCAGTTGCGGTCGTCTGTCAAAACTCCCCCACCGTCAGTTTCCAACATGAGGCCGGGGAAGGTCCTGCAGAGGAGGAAGTCCAGGTCGGTGAGTAAGGAGATGGAGGTTGCCACTCCCACTGCAAGGGACTCGGTCCGTGGCTCACACTGGTGGACCCATGTGTCGACTCCATATGGCTGGGTGCCATGGCAGTTTTCACAGTCAAACTTCAATCCCACTGATGTAATTGGCGTCGAGTCTGTCGTGATTATGTTTCCAGGCTTAGAAGTGTAATTTATACTATTTTTTCCAGTGTATGAATAGGCAAACATATTAATTTATACTTACCGTATGCTTTATTTTGTAATGTAAACATAGCCTTTTGAGTTAATCGTATTTTGCTGTATTACGTTAAAGTTTTGGATACATCACAGTTCGACTTATTATTACAGTATATGACTGAGAATCAAGTACAGTACCTTACAACTTTATCGGCTTAAAAACTAGTAAAATTCTACTCCGAAGGGAATCTCCCTAAAACTCACCAATACTGCAACTCTCCGGCTGTTGTTTAGGAAATATTCCCCAAACTTGCAAGTTAACCTAAACTAGAACCTTCTAGCCGTTGGCTAACTTGTCTTTGTCACTTTGGTCACTAAAACTTGGGTCTTCCTCACCTGCCACGTACAAGTTGCAGGTGGTGTCCTCGACGACATTCCTGAGGGACGACAACGTCTGACACATCTTCGACGACGACACCCAGTTGAACCCCACACACTGGGTCTCTGAGGACACAGCACCGAGGTTCTCAAAGGTTCATATATTAAATTCCCTCGCTGACATGAATTGAGCACAGTCCAAACTTGCTTTAGGTAATCATACATCTGTTGCTGTCTACACAAGCATTTTAGATGTCATAATAAAGTGCATTATACCAATGTAATTGAAATCACTGGCACGACGGACAAACGATGCATGTGTAAAAATACAAACATCAAGAGACTTTATAACACCCTGTACATGTCTTTGCGAGGACAATGTACTGTAGATTTATTCATATACAGGGTATTTTAGCGTTGCATTATGACTGAGTGTATATTTGGACGTCAAATTGACGTGTGATAATAGCTGTTTTTCCGACATTATACTTCCCTAAAACATTGATGATGTGCTATGTGATAACTGACATTCTTATGTGGGAATCGTGTTGACATGCTAGCTCACATAATTAATTACTAAGGACTGTCATAAACTAATTTTAAAAAGCACATCACGTAACAATAACTGGTACGTGTATCTTTCGGCTCTTCGTTTTGTTCAGTCAGCAAGAATTAAAACTAATGACGATTGATGTTTCTGAACTGATACACTATGCAAATACGAGAGCACACATTCACACATAAATACATATTATACATATGTACGCACATACAGGGCACCAACCCTAAAACTGTCAACAATGCAGAAATATTTGTCTACACAGCCAAGTGACCGTTCTCTCCGTCTCTAGCGTCAACAAATTTTAACTTTTTACATATAAGTTTTGTTGCTACTCGTATTTCAGTAACCCATCACCAGGTTATTGATAATTTAAAGATAATATCAATGTTATATGATTAAAATCATGAAGACGAGCTACATAATCTTCACGCAAAATATTTCTACTCTCTTGGTCAATCATTCAACATTTGAGTGTCTGTGTGAGCGGCCGGAGTTTGTAGCTTCTATTATCGTTTGTTAATTACAGACACACAGGGAGTTCCATCTCATATATTTTTTTTTAATGTTGGACTAGAGTAGGGTTGCCATACGTCCGTATTTTCCCGGACATGTCCTCCATTTAGGTCTCGACATCTTCGTCCGGAAGTAATTTTTAAAATTCTTTAAAAGTCCGGAATTTCAGCTTCCATCATTTTCTCCACGGAAAAAAAAACATGAAACTGGAATGACGAGAGAGAGAGATAGACGGTGAGAGAGGGGAGGTGGAAACCGTACGGATCTCGTTCAGTTTTCGTCAGCTGATAAGTCACGTGTACGCCTGTACGGTGTTGTCAACTTAGCTGCTAGCAATTTTTGGGCTAGCATGTAGTGCCACTTACTACTTTTCCTTGTTCTTCAGCCACGCGCATTATTAAATTTGTTTTTGTATTTAGTGCTATTACAGCCATAAATGAAATGTTGAAAGTATACCATTTTTTTCTTATGGCTTTTTTTTACACTGTAGCATTTGTTTTTCTTGCCCTGCATTTAAGGCAGTTTAGCAATTTTCAACCATAATCTTGATGTGCATGGGCACATCAAGTCACACACACAGTGGGGGAAGAAGACTGCAGCTAAGGGAATGAAGATATTCAGCCTTAAGCAAAGGTAATTTTTTTTATTATTTTTAAGATTTCTTTACCATGAATGTTGTATATTAGCCTACATTAAAAACACAATGCAATACAGTACACCGATACTGGTATATATATATATATATATTAATGTTATGCAAATATGCAAAATTAATTGTCACGGCTGCTTCAAGGTTACATAGCGCCAAAGTGTGTGCCGGGGGCAGGATGTCGTCTGGAGGGTCCTCTTTTTTTTAATGTTCAGATATGGCAATCCTAGACTAGAGCAATTACTAACCGGGTTACGCGCTTAAATACATTGCTGTTGAAGCGCAGTAAAAACATTACAACAGCACACAGGATAATGCTAGGATGGTAAAACGAATCCAGGAAAAAAGTCACAAGAAAATAGGCAAAAAAAAAGGCACGGAAAAAACCGAACCTAACCTACGTACAATGCCATCATATGCTGTATATATTGTGTTGTGTACAAGTTATGTAACTTTTTATCCTGTGACTTTATTTTCGTTCACCGCTAAAACAAACCAATTGCAGTTAGGAAACAAGTCCAGTATTAGGTATAAGTATTTATTTGAACCTTGTCGGCCAATAACGTTCATATATTGTAACGTTAATCTCTTCTTCAATTAAAAGCCTCGTGTTTCACCTTTGTGGCAGGCGAGGCAGCAGACACTGAGTGATGCCGCCACCCAGGAAATGATAAGGTCGGTGCCCCTCGTGCCAGCCTCCCCCACGAGGTATTTCACACCCAGCCCCGCCTCCGTCACCACCGCCATCAATGTCACCCCCAGCAGGAGAACCCAGCTTGCTTTGCACCACCAGTAGCCTCCTCCTTTTCGGTGGACGGACGCCATAGCTGGAAAAATTGAGTAGGATGAAGCAAATTTATCTCTCCATCAACCTGTCTTAAAGATGATTATCAGTGTTCTTTTTTCCTGACGTCCTGTGTTTACGTTGTGTGTGTGTACTGGTGTATATTCCTAAATCTGTGTCGTGTGTTTGATAGCCTAAAGGTTTTCTTATGCAATGCTTTTTTTTTAAAATGAAATCGGACACAACGGAACCAAGAGTGTCGACAACTGAACATAAAACGCCTGACTTATTTCCTGTTTATGAAAATTTAAATTCTATTCATAATACTAATGATACCTTTGACCTTAAAATTGGTAGAGCTTCCTCTTTCATGAGGCAAGGCACCTACGCAAAATAATGTTGATTGATACGTAGAAACTCGAGTTTTGAATAACAAATTGTTGATCGAACGGCAAGGATTCTGGCACTATAGGAGGGTGGAGCACTCAATGTATTTATTATTATAATTATTCTCCCGCGACGGTGGCGTTGCCAAGCGGCAGCGATGTATAAAACGGTTCCATGATATATGCTCACAAGGCATATACTCACAAAACAAACCTATACCTAACCTCACCTAACCTAACCTAACATAACCTAACCTAACATTAGTCTTCCTTTCTATTAATGTTGTATTCGTCTTGTGAGCAAATGTCGGCACACCGTATAAGACACATTAAGCCCATTGCTACTTTTACATGATATTGTGCGCTACCACCGGATTATTCAATAAAAACATTTCATATACAGCGAGTAAGTTCTTGACATCCAACTTTAGATATTTAAGGACAATTTCTCAAAGCAACCCATTGATTTTGCAATAAGATAATTATTTGATTACTTACATGTAAGTAGGCAAATAATTATATTTTACTGCACCACTTTAGAGGGCGAACACTTCGCCCATTGGAGTGGTCCACCCCCCTATAGTGTCAGAATCCTTGGAAGGATGGACCCACAACACAACCTTGGGTGAGCACTAAGCATTGCTCTACTCGCCACTCAGGCATCAACAGTGACACTAAATTATGTCAAGATACTTTTCCACTCAGAATGCTATTGATTTAAATTTATCAAGTATTATTCTCCAATGCAAATATTACGCACTGTATTCCCATAAGTTGATTCACTTTTTTAATAAAATAAATAATACAGTATTTGATGAGAATGTAAAATTGCGACAGCCAAACAGACTTCCGTTATTTCCTCACCTGCGGAAACAATTGTCGAGAAGTTAACTTTTCCTTGTTAAAGGGGTTGTCACTGAGTCGTGAGTCAGTCCTTTAATTGATAGACTGGTGAAGGAGACTGAAGTTCAGTTCTGGCAAAGAGCGTCGTGACGGCGACCTAATAGATGAAAGTTGAATAGCAGACTGGCCGCTGAGTCGCTGACCAGTCACCACAACCGTCAATATAATGGTGAATGTCTCTACGTGTCTACGATCTCATCCGCTCACCCCTCCCCCCTCACCCCTCACCCCCTTTATTGTGGACGTCTTCGTCGTTCTCACATCTGCAATAAAACATTTAAGTTCATTTTTCCAGATATAATAATGTAATATATTACTGAGTTAGAACTGACTGCCAAAGATTATTTGGTTATAACCTAAATACGACTAATTGATAAACATCCGACGTACATTCGTGTTATAATAAGTGTTATACTGGTTCAATGGGGCACTTTAAAATATCTCGAGAACCACTTAAGTTGGTGCCTGCCTCCAAACTGAAAATGACTTAAATTCTAAATATATGCGAAATAACAGTATAGACCCAGAGCAAGAACTTAACATAATGTATTGTAACACCATACCTAAAATCTATTCCCTCACTGTATGAAAATAAATTAGATGTAACAATAAGAGACCTTGCTCACTGGGTTTCATATCATTAACTATCACTGGATAATGAAATAATGAAAGTCGTAACAGTAACAGAACAGATCGAGCGTGCGAATAAGAGGATAAATTGGATGAAATGATAAACGTGTGTTCATAATAATAATAATAATAATAATAATAATAATAATAATAATAATAATAATAATCAGAGAGAAGTGAGTGGTGCGTGAGCGGAATGGTGCCGAATGATTTTTTTTTTTTTTGGGGCACCCCCCAATAGGGAAGCATGCTAAGTTCATGCTTGCCTTTATGTCTCACGAGTTAAGGGCGTAGAAGCCTGAAGAGTCAGTGATTTATGTCAAGTTATTGGAAGCTCCAACGACTCCCTGAATACGACGAATTCGCGACTTTCGACTTACAACAGGTACCTACTTTACTGTTACATTGATTACAGGATGGTGAGGGGAGGGTCAGATTGAGCAAGTCCCCCAGGTCAGAATTCGTAAATGAGGAGGTAGAGGAAAAAATGGATTGCGAATAAGAGTGAGAATAATAAAAAACAACAATAAGATGCAAGGAATTATCAATACGTTATAAAATATTGAATGGTGGCAATAACAAAAAGACGGGACAGGACAGAACAGGGAAACACGAGGGAAGAATTAACTCAGTACTTAATTAGTCTTACGCAACCTAAAATAAGTCTTAGTTTTTTATATAATTTCTTAAACTTTTCAATACGCCCACATACACCATATAAAAAAAAATATCATAACTACATTGTGATAGCTACAATGTACAGTATCTATGCCGCAATATATCAATGCCACAAAGAATAAGTGCTACACTGTATCCATCCCACAGTGAATCAATACCATAAAGTATTTGTTAAACGCAGGGAACCAAGGACTCAGACACGCTAACAGTGAAAACTTTTACCCAGTATACAAACAGATGAACATCACTCCAAAAATTTAGATCCGATCACAACCCAAACCTCTCAGCCCCATGGTCGCCCTTGACAACATCTCATCACTACACAGTTTTGGTCAACATCGAATAAAATGTCAAGGTAGGGGTCATCGATGTAGGTCACTCCCACGATATTTTCACAGGAAATGACCCTCCCACTCCCCTCCAACGATGAACACAGTGGAGTTCATCACCTGCCTTTTGGTGATGTTTGAGGTATTGATTCGAGAAAGTCAAGCCCATGCCTTTATTAGGATCATATTAGCTTATTTTACTTCTTGTGGGTTTTAATGCTGATAGGAAATTACCTTTGATAATTATTTGTATTCAGTCAATCATGGAGTCATCTTCATATCTGAGGGTTGGCGACCATGGCCCTCCACTCCAGATAGAAGATGTTCCACCCATTCAGTAAAGTGAAGTGTTTTATTCTAGTTCAACTGGTGTGTGTATTATATGTGTGTGTGTGTGTGTGTGTGCATATATATGTATGTGTGTATATATATATATATGTGTGTGTTTGTATATGTGTATGTCTGTACTGTATATATGTCATGTGTGGATATTGTGTATGTTTCCGTATATATGTTATATGTGTATGTCTGCGTGTATGCGTGTATAAGTTTATCTATATTTCATCTACCTGTCCGTCTAATGGTCACAGTGACTAATGGTGGTTACGTAAGGGGAAGAATTCTGGTGGCCTGTATAGAATTGTCCCCCATATTCCTTGATACCTTCGTCCAGTGCGATTGAGAGGCCCATTGTGTGTATGTATGAAAGAATGTGTGTGTGTGTGTGTGTGTGTGTGTGTGTGTGTGTGTGTGTGTGTGTGTGCGTGCGCGCGTGTGTGTATGCGCGTGTGTGTATGCGCGTGTGTGCGTGTTGAATTATATGGAGATAAAAATATACTGTACTTTTGTTGAAATTATATGCCTGTCTAAGGAAGGAGGTAGACAGTTAAAGCTTAATAACCCAAATGAAAAACAAAACAAAAACACAAACCCACACACAAGCGCAGACACACACGCACACACAAGCGCAGACACACACGCACACACATTCCTATACTGTCTGTGATTCTCTGTTATTATCGTCTCTAGTTATTTTAAAAAACAAAGAAAAATTGTACGTCTACTCATCATTTTATACTAATATCAAGACTCTAGTTGCCTATTGGAATATTGTAATGATTCAACTTCGAAAATGTAGTCAAACTATTGTAGATTTCTGAGTCGATTGGTGTGGAAGGTAGTACAGCTGGGTCGGGTTATTGTAGTGTGGTTGATGGGTGCAAATTATTAAGTAGGGTGTGGGGGGAAGCGGGAAGGAGGAGGAGGGGGTGTAGGGGGAGGAGGAGGGTGTGTGTGGGGGGAGGAGGAAGATTGATTTGATTTGATTTTGCCGCTTACAGCGGCTACTTTATTGTGCACCCCACACTCATCCTGTGAGCGGTAGCGCAAAAGGATTACATAGTAGAGTTTACAACGGGTCATAATAATTAACCCCCGTGGTCAGGATATTATGGCACTGAATGTTACACAGTATTTCAATTACATTATTTGTTTTGTTCTATACATAAAGGGTAATTTATTCATAACTGCGTGAATGCAGGCATGGGATGAAATGCACAGGGCTTCCATACACAATAAAGTCTGTATAGTAGGCGACTTTAACCTTGGCCAAATAGATTGGACTGACCTTACAGGTAACTCAGAATCTGAGGATTTTCTCGAAACGATCCAGGACTGTTTCCTAAGTCAACATATAACCGAACCCACCCGGGGTAATAATATACTCGATTTAGTTCTGTCGAACAGAGAAAACCTCATTAGCAGTGTCGAGGTAGGGAACGAACTTGCAAACAGCGACCACAAAGATATTAGATTCCAGTTAGATTTTCAGAACAGACTTAAGGAAAATTCTACAAAAGTCCCAGATTTCAGAAGGGCAAACTTTGATAGTTTGAAGAGGCAGCTGAGGGAAGCCGTGTCGCGCCTGGGGGGAACCTGACAGTTGACACCGACCTGATAACGAGATCTGAGATTGCCGAGTTCCACGACAATCTAAATAATGAGTTACTTAATGCACAAAGGCAGAACATACCACTCAAAAAACTCAGATCAGACAACAATGACCCTAAATGGACAAATAATTATTTAAAGAACATTATTGGCCAAAGGAAGGCTATAGGTAGAAGGATAAATCGTGGCGAAATTTACCTCTGGGATTATTATAAGGTATTGGCGAGTAGGGTTAAGTCCGAGATAAGGAGAGCTAAGAGGAACAATGAAGTGAAGACAGCAAGGGAGGCAAAGGCAAACCCCAAAGGATTCTACCAAATGTATCAAACTAAAACACGAGAAAAGATTGGACCAATACGGTCAGATACCGGCGAGCTAACTGATAACGACGGAGAAATGAGCAATAATCTGAATAAATTTTTTTCAAAAGTTTTCACCACCGAAAATTTAAACATGATACCCGAGGCAGCGACTCTATTCAGAGATAGTGAAGAAAACAAATTAAGCGAGATAGTCGTGACTAGTAACGATGTTAGTAAGCAAATAGACAAACTAAAGCCTAATAAGTCACCTGGTCCCAATGAGATATTTGCCAGAGTATTAAAGGAATGTAAGGAAGAGCTTAGTATGCCCTTAGCAAAGTTGTTTAACATGTCCTTAAAAACAGGTGTAGTACCAGAATTCTGGCGGATAGCGAATGTAATACCGATTTTCAAGAAGAGGGAAAGATCACAATCCTTTAACTACCGCCCAATCAGTCTTACATCAATAGTAGGCAAATTACTGGAAGCAATCATTTCAAACTCTGTTCGAGATCACCTGGAGAAGCACCAATTGATCAATGATTCCCAGCATGGCTTCACAAGCTGGCGTTCATGTCTAACTAATCTATTAACATTCTTTTCATCAGTTTTCGAATCGGTGGACGAGGGGCACAATTATGATGTGGTATATCTCGACTTTAGCAAAGCCTTCGACAGAGTCCCCCACGAAAGACTATTTAGAAAGATAGGAGCACATGGCATTAAAGGTAACATCCTTAAATGGATTAAGGCGTGGTTACAGGACAGGAAACAACGAGTGAGCATTAACCTCTCTAAATCCCATTGGAGCAACGTCACTAGCGGAGTTCCCTAAGGCTCAGTACTTGGACCATTATTATTTATTATATACATAAACGACATAGATATCGGCATAGACAGCAACATAAGTAAATTTGCTGATGACACTAAAATAGGACGTGTTATTAAATCTGACGAGGACTCCGCAAAACTACAGGAAGATCTAAACAAATTTTTCCAATGGTCTGAAAAATGGCAGATGAAATTCAACGTGGACAAAAGTAAAGTACTTAGGTTCATACAAAGGAGTGTGAGTTACATGACTAGCGAGGTCATCCTAAAACTGTATCTTGCTCTTGTGAGAACACACCTGGATTACGCAGTTCAGTTCTGGTCACCTTATTACAGAATGGATATAGAATCCTTGGAAAGAATTCAGAGGAGAATGACAAGACTAATCCCGGGCATTAGGAACCTTGAGTATAGAGACAGGTTAAAGTATCTTAATTTGCACTCCC